TTTGAAGATACCATTGGATTAACCTTGAGTGCCCCTCTAAAAAAGTATTGCACAAACGGCAAAGCTGAGTATAACAGGTCACTGATCTTCAAAAAGACTGCCCTACAGTACCACTGCCTCACATGAAATCTTGGAAAGAGGCTGAACAAACATACACGGCAATGAAGAGACACAGTATCAGAGTTATGGAACTTAATCTTATATATGTATATTTGTACTTTTTATCAAATGCCCTTTTATAAATGCGCTTTTTCATATCAATATAACAAGAAGCTATTTTCTATACATTACTACACAATCATAAGGTGTCAATATTTTATTTAAAAAATTAACTTCATACAAATGTATAACAGTGTACAAAAATAAGTGCACTTTAAAACAACACGTTTCATAAAACAGATTGTAAGAAATTCTGACAAATGATTAAAATACAATGATTAAGGTAAACACCTAAAAGTGAGCAATTTATCTAAAGCTGTGTCATGACAAAACCAACATAGTGCGTTTGCGACCAGCATGAATCCAGACCAGCCTGCGCATCCGCGCAGTTTGACAAGGATCCATGCTGTTCCCTATCAGTTTCTCTACTTGTTATAGAGTTGGTTAGCAAACAGCATGGATCTTGATCAGACTGAGCAGATGCGCAGGCTGGTCTGGATCCATGCTGGTCGCAAACGCTTGGTTTTGTCGTGACGCGGCTCAATTATGAAAATGAGATTGTTTATGATGCATGATATTTACCCTGATATTTTTGTCCATAATACAATAACCATAATGTAGATTTTATCAAATGTATAGAAAATGAAAAACAATTTCAGGCTTGTCAAGAAAGTACATGGATTCCTGCTGAATTATTGTGATATTATATAAAGAGCTGTCAGAAGGTCAGCATGCTCGACTATTCTAAGTGCTTGATAGTAAATAATATAGAATTTTCTAAGTTCAAAAAGAACCACAATTCTGTCAAAATCAATGTTAGATAAATGGGCTTTGGATAGAGATTTCCTTTTATGCTCTGAAGTAAGTGTGTGAACTTTAAACCAATTTCCTTTGGTACTCTTTGTGATACTAACTGGCAAGCAAAAACTTAACCAAAGTGTGACGCTGACGTCTGGGTTAGTACAACAGCTCTCCCTATTCTTTGAATAGTCAAACTAATAAAAAAACGGGCACGAATGGTTTATTAATGTAAATAATGTTAATAAAAGTTCCAAAATCCATCATTCTGTTTCCTTAGTCAAGCTAAAAATGAGCTCCTCCAGGAAGGTATTTGATTAACCCTTACCCTGCTGAATTTCTTAAATGGTCTTGACTAGCTTCCAATTTTTTAGCTGCTAACTATAAATTTTAAGATCAAGATCAAAATATGGGAGAAATCAAGATCAAAATTTGGAGTTGGTCAGTCAACAGTAGAGATCGAGATCAAAATTTGGAGTTGGTCAGTCAACAGTAGAGATCAAGATCAAAATTTGGAGTTGGTCAGTCTTTGTAAAGATCGCTAAAACTGAAAGCATTCCTAAAGCACAAAAGTGTTTTTCGCCACATTGAAAGATGAAGAATTTAAAAACTTACAGCCTTCATTTTGAGATTGTATACATGTTTTCAACTATGTATCTAATTTTGCCATGTTTTAATAATACCCAACTTATTTTCTTTGATATGTAATTTTAAACATTAACCAATACATGTAAATGAAGTTTAAATTAGCAGAGTTTTCATCATTGCTCGTTTGTTTCTATCAATCATGTCAACAATTTAATAAATGCAACATGGTAGCATACAACAAAGAGTTTAAACAGATAGTTATAAATGAACACAAAGACAGATATATTAAAACATGACAAATTTGTTGATTGTTCATCACCTAATAATACATCATTATTTCATGCCATCAACATATACACAAAATGACCGATGACATATTTCACAACCTTCAAGATACTGTTATATTTACTTTTTATATTCCTCAGTTATAGTATGAAATCATAATCCTTATGAAAATTGAATATTTTTTAGTGAATGCTCCCTTCACATCACCCAAAGGGTGTTGGACTGTTACTTTTTTTTCATATTTCAATCCATATAAAAATTGAGTTTTGCATCAATATTCAATAACTTCTAATCAAGAAAATTTCTGGTTCACTGAGCTTAAAAATAAAGATTATTATAGCAATAAAATGCACAGCTTAAATGAAATCTAAAAACGGCATTGCTACTGCAATTAACAATAAAAAGTTGTCTTTAAAAAATCTAAGGCTTTTGCATGAAAATAAAATATGATACCTCAAACATGTGTATGAAAAACCTGCATTATGTTTTATATCTCAATAATTCCCTTTTACAGTCCACTCTTCTCATATTTCACAAATGAGACAAAAGACAATACCTACTCAACTTCTTCTCTAATCAAATATGTCACTGGTGGATACAATATTACCATTGTTAGACTGGCTATACCAGTTTACATAAACAATATTATTTTAACATTCAATTTATGAAGTAATGAAACAAAGTTCTGTCAATGAAAGCACAGCTTGAAAAGTTTGTGACCATGCCTTTATCACATGTTAAGGGTGACTTAAAAAACTTTTTAAGTGTGTTAATAAAACAATAACACAGTGCTGCTATGAATATTTTAAGATGAGGTCAAGGGGTCAAGTTAACTTCATTCTGTCCATTTCTGCAGCAAGGTCAGCATCAGTGACCTGCAAATAGAACCAATCAATGCTTGATTTAATTTTATACCCAATAGTCAAAACTAACTAATTATTTTTAAATCAAAATGAGTTTTCTCAGATCAAAGATAATTTTCTCTTTATATATACATGTAGTACTGATCAACTGATACTTGATTGCTACTGCACCCCCCCCCCCCCCAAATAAATACAGTCATGCTTGGCTAACAGCCTGTGTTCTCCATTTAGCTGAGAAAATGGACAGAATGTTTTAACTATTCAATTTTAATAAGGATTTATTTCAGCAAAATCACATAAAAATTTGCATGGTCATCTTATATAATAAGAAATATTAAATACAAACCTGTTTGGGACTTAGTGCTGTTCCTCGTACTTGAAGTTGAGGGTCATCAACATGATCGCCCTCAGTATCCTCCTGTGCTTTTTCCTCATAGCTTTCATCATAATCGTCCTCTATATCTTCCTCATCACTGCCCTCATCACCACTGAAATAGATATAGTGAGACTTAAAGTGTCAGAGACCACATTAACATACCATATTCCGGTAAATACCATACAAGGTGCTTGAATAATTAAATGCTTAAATCTCACCTTTTCGACCGCCGAAATGTATATTATGGCATCTAATTCATCTCTTCACATGGATTCATATATGATCATGAATGAAAAATATAAGTATCAGCCAAAAAGCGTTACTTTTTTACTTTGTAATCATGATTTCTGCAAGCGTCAAAGATATTGCTGCAACACTGAAGTGAATTAAATACAACAAGAGCTGTCACAGGAGACAGCGAAGCTCGACTAATAAAATACTGGATGCAGCAAGGAGGACAAAACTTTGAAAGAAAAATCAATTATGTAGAATTATGTATTAAGTTATAGTAAGAAAAAAATAACATTTGTAACATAAATTCCAAGATCAAGGGGATTAATTCTAGAAATAGTCACGCTAGAGTTATGAACCTTGTCACACAACATGTGTGTAATGATAAGAAATATATATTTGAAGTTTGAAGTAGATACCTTTAAAAGTAAAGAAGTTATAATATTTCTTAAAGAAAATCCTAAGTTCAAAGAGAGATAAATCTGTAAAAATTGCTTAAAGAGTTTTGAACATCGTCACATAAAATGTAATTGATGATAAGGAATAAGTATTTGAAGTTTGAGGTAGATACCTTTAAAAAGTTATAAACAAGAGGGCCATGATGGCCCTGAAGTCGCTCACCTGTATATAGGCCCCCGGAGCGGGGCCAGTTTAAACCCCAGGGCTTTTATTTGAACAAACTTGGTAGACACCCATTAGAAGATGTTTCATGCTAAACATCTAAGGTCTAGCTGGTCAAGTTTTTTCTTTACACATATAGTTAAACACAATGACACACCTGGGGCAGGGGCAGTTTTGACCCAAGGGCTTTTATTTAATTATTTATTTAATCTTTGTAGACACTTACTATAAAATGTTTCATGCTTAATATCTAAACTCTAGCTATTCGGGTTTTTTCAAAGAAGATTTTTAAGTTTTTGCTATACACATATAAGGAAAACCAATGTCCCCTGGGGCAGGGTCATTTTTGACTCCAGGGCTTTTATTTGAACAAACTTGGTAGACACCCATTAGAAGATGTTTATGCTAAATATCTTAGCTCTAGCTCTTTGGGTTCTTTAAAAGAATTTTTTTTAAGTTTTTACTATATGCATATAGGGAAAATCAATGACCCCCTGGGGCGGGGCCAATTTTGACCCCAGGGCTTTTATTTGAACAAACTTGGTAGACACTCACTAGAAGATGCTTCATGCTTAATATCTTAGCTCTAGCTCTTTGGGTTCTTTAAAAGAAGATTTTTAAAGTTTTTACTATATGAATATAGGGAAAATCAATGACCCCCTGGGGCGGGGCCAATTTTCACCCCAGGGCTTTTATTTGAACAAACTTGGTAGACACTCACTAGAAGATGTTTCATACCAAATATCTAAGCTCTAGCTCTTCGGGTTTTTTAGAAGAAGATATTTAAAGTTTTTTCTTTTGGTTGCCATGGCAACCAGAGTTCTGCAAGGAATTAAATTCTTTGAACAATTTTCAAAGGTGACCACCAAAGGAACATTCCTGTGAAGTTTGGATGAAAATGGCTTAGTGGTTTATGAGGAGATGTCATTTAAAGTAAAAGTTTACGGACGCCGGACGCCGGACGAAAAGCGATCACAAAAGCTCACCCTGTCACTTTGTGACAGGTGAGCTAAACAAGAGGGCCATGATGGCCCTGAGGTCGCTCACCTGTAGATAGGCCCCCCAAACCCCCACAACCCCCCAACGTTGCAGGGCCAATTTAACCCAAGGGCTTTTATTTGCACAAACTTGGTAGACACCCATAAGAAGATGTTTCATGCTAAACATTTAAGCTCTAGCTCATTGGGCTTTTTAAAAGAAGATTTTTTTTAAAGTTTTTACTATACACATATAGTTAAAAACAATGACACCCCTGGGGCCGGGCCAGTTTTGACCCCAGGGCTTTTATTTGAACAAACTTTGTAGACACTTACTAGAAGATGTTTCATACTTAATATCTAAACTCTAGCTATTTGGGTTTTTTCAAAGAAGATTTAAAGTTTTTGCTATACACATACATGTATAAGGAAAATCAATGTCACCGGGGCGGGGCCAATTTTGACCCCAGGGCTTTTATTTGAACAAACTTGGTAGACACCTATTAGAACATGTTTGATGCTCAATATCTTAGCCATAGCTCTTTGAGTTCTTTAAAAAAAGATTTTTTTAGGTTTTTACTATATGCATATAGGGAAAATCAATGACCCCCCGGGGCGGGGCCAATTATGACCCCAGGGCTTTTATTTGAACAAACTTGGTAGACACCCATTAGAACATGTTTCATGCTAAATATCTTAGCTCTAGCTCTTTGGGTTCTTTAAAAGAAGATTTTTTAAGTTTTTACTATATGCATATAGGGAAATCAATGACCCCCTGGGGCCGGGCCAATTTTGACCCCAGGGCTTTTATTTGAACAAACTTGGTAGACACTCACTAGAAGATGTTTCATGCCAAATATCTAAGCTCTAGCTCTTTGAGTTCTTTAAAAGAAGATTTTTTAAGTTTTTACTATATGCATATAGGGAAAATCAATGACCCCCCGGGGTGGGGCCAATTTTGACCCCAGGGCTTTTATTTGAACAAACTTGGTAGACACCTATTAGAACATGTTTCAAATATCTTAGCTCTAGCTCTTTTGGTTCTTTAAAAGAAGATTTTTTAAGTTTTTACTATATGCATATAGGGAAAATCAATGACCCCCCGGGGCGGGGCCAATTTTGACCCCAGGGCTTTTATTTGAACAAACTTGGTAGACACTCACTAGAAGATGTTTCATGCCAAATATCTAAGCTCTAGCTCTTATGGTTTTTTAAAAGAAGATATTTAAAGTTTTTTCTTTCGGTTGCCATGGCAACCAGAGTTCTGCATGGAATTAAATTCTTTGAACAATTTTTAAAGGTGACCACCAAAGGAACATTCCTGTGAAGTTTGGATGAAATTGGCTTAGTGGTTAATGAGGAGATGTCATTTAAAGTAAAAGTTTACGGACGGACGGACGACGGACGGACGGACGCCGGACGAAAAGCGATCACAAAAGCTCACCCTGTCACTTTGTGACAGGTGAGCTAAAAAGTTATAGTAAAAAATAACATTTTTCAGGTAAAAAAATCTAAGTTTCTGGGGAGATAATTCCTACAATATTGGTGCTAGAGTTATCAACCTTGTCACATAAGATGTGGATGATGATAAGGTACATATATTTGATGTATGAAGTTGATCCCTTAAGAAATAAATAAATAACAGTAAAAAATAATAATTTTTAAGGAAAATTCCAAGTTCAAGGGGAGATAAATCTGAAAAAATTGGTGCTAGAGTCATGAACCTTATCACATAAGATGGGGATGATGATAATGTACATATATTTGAAGTATGAGGTTGATCCCTTAAGAAATAAAGAAGTAACAGTAAACAAGAGGGCCATGATGGCCCTAGATCGCTCACCTGACTTATCAAACTCATCCAAACAATTACCTACACAAGCATTCTGACCAAGTCTCATGACAGGTGAGTCAAAAATGTGACCACTACAGTGTTAACAAGGATTATCCATATTTGAGCAGTGCGACCTAGTTTTTTACCCAGGTGACACATATTCAAACTTGACCTAGAAATCATCAAAACAAACTTTCAGACCAATTACCAGGATACTTGGATCAAAACAGTAGCAACTAGAGTGTTAACAAGATTTTTCTATTTTTAGCTCCGGTGACCTAGTTTCACATGCGATTTCGAACTCATCCAAGCAATTACCTAGACAAGCATCCTGACCAAGTTAGATGATAATTGAGTCGAAAATGTGACCACTAGAATGTTAACAAGGTTTTTCCATATTTGGGCGGTGTGACCTAGTTTTTCATCCAAGATGACCCATGTTCGAACTTGACTTAGAAACCATCAAAACAAACTTTCAGACCAATTAACAGAATATTTGGATCACAACAGTAGCCACTAGAGTGTTAAAAAGATATTTTTATTTTTAGTTCCTGTGACCTAGTTTTTCATCCGAGATGACCCATGTTCCATTTATTCCCAGCAATGACCTAGAAAAGTTTCCTGACCAAGTTTGATGACAATTGAGTCAAAATTGTGACCACTAGAGTGTTAACAAGGTTTTTCTATTTTTAGCTCCTGTGACCTAGTTTTTCATCCGAGATGACCCATGTTCGAACTCATCTGAGCTATCACCTAGACAAGCACTTTGATCAAGTTTGATGATGATTGATGCAAAAATGTGACCGCTAGAGTGTTAACAAGGTTTTTCTATTTTTAGCTCCGGTGACCTACTTTTTCATCCGAGATGACCCATGTTCGAACTCATCCGAGCTATCACGTAGACAAACATCCTGATCAAGTTTGTTGATGATTGAGGCAAAATTGTGACCTCTAGATTGTTAACATGGTTTTTCTATTTTTAGCTCCGGTGACCTAGTTTTTCATCCGAGATGACCCATGTTCGATCTCATCCGAGCTTTCACCTAGACAAGCATCTTGACCAAGTTTGATGATGACTGATGCAAAAATGTGACAGCTAGTGTTAACAAGGTTTTTCTATTTTTAGCTCCGGTGACCTACTTTTTCATCCGAGATGACCCATGTTCGAACTCATCCGAGCTATCACCTAGACAAGCATCCTGACAAAGTTTGATGATGATTGATGCAAAAATGTGACTGCTAGAGTGTTAACAAGGTTTTTCTATTTTTAGCTCCAGTGACCTACTTTTTCATCCGAGATGACCCATGTTCGAACTCATCCGAGCTATCACCTAGACAAGCATCTTGACCAAGTTTGATGATGATTGATGCAAAAATGTGACCGCTAGAGTGTTAACAAGGTTTTTCTATTTTTAGCTCCGGTGACCTACTTTTTCATCCGAGATGACCCATGTTCGAACTCATCCAACTATCAACTAGATAAGCATCCTGACCAAGTTTGATGATGATTGATGCAAAAATGTGACCACTAGTGTTAACAAGGTTTTTTCTATTTTTAGCTCCGGTGACCTACTTTTTCATCCGAGATGACCCATGTTCGAACTCATCCGAGCTATCACCTAGACAAGCATCCTGACAAAGTTTGATGATGATTGATGCAAAAATGTGACCGCTAGAGTGTTAACAAGGTTTTTCTATTTTTAGCTCCGGTGACCTACTTTTTCATCCGAGATGACCCATGTTCGAACTCATCCGAGCTATCACCTAGACAAACATCCTGACCAAGTTTGATGATGATTGAGGCGAAAATGTGACCTCTAGAGTGTTAACAAGGTTTTTCTATTTTTAGCTCTTGTGACCTAGTTTCTCATCCGAGATGACCCATGTTCGAACTCCTCCGAGCTATCAACTAGATAAGCATCCTGACCAAGTTTGATGATGATTGAGGTAAAAATGCGACCGCTAGAGTGTTAACAACTAAATGTGAATGGACGACAGACAATCAACGATCCTAAAAGCTCACCCTGAGCATGCTCAGGTGAGCTAATAAATGACTATTAAATTCTATAGTATTTAACAAGGAGCTCTGCTATGGGACAAAACAAGGTTTTCAATGACCAAGTTTTGATGTGACAGGAATCAAAAGGATAAAGTTATTGAGTAGAAACTGAAAATTCTATTGTAAGCAAATGACCTTGACCTTGCTCCCAGATATCTAAGGGCAATCCCAAGCTGCCACACAACAAGTTTAGTGTCAAAAGCCAAAGCAAACTCAAGTTATTACATGAAAACTTAATTTCTTTTTTAAGCAACAGTGGCCTTGACCTTGTTCACAGACACCTGGGTAGCAATCCCAAGATGCCTCTTAATATAAGCTACCTATACACCTAGTTTAGTATCAGTAGGCCAAGGCAAACTTAGGTTATTGAGCGGAAACTGAATTTCTACTTTTAGTAACAGTGACCATGATCACAGATATCTGGGTAGCAATCCCAAGCTGCCGTTGATATAAGCTACCTACACCTCAAGTTTGGTGTCAATAGGCCAAAGCAAACTAAAATTATTGTGTCCTTCTTTTTAGTAGTTTTGGAGATATCAACATGCATGCAAAAACTTAACTAAACACCTGGGTGAGTGCAATAACACTCCCTATTCTTAAAATAGTTGAGCTAAAAATATTTGAAATATTTAAAACATCACGACCGGATGAAGATTTAAGAAGAAAATAAAGAACAGCTGATATGCTGTTAATCTTTTAGAAGATCAAAATGTTGAGTTTAACATACAAATAACAACAACTCTCACTCTATCTTATCCTGACCTCTCCCACAACATACATATTACAATAAAGATATAAATGGTAGACAACCAACCTTAAGGAGCCTAATATATCTTGTTTACCAATTGCTTCTAATGTAGCTTGTACAAGTTCAACACCTTCCTCTCCAAGTTGATTTGCTGTAAAATATTTTATGTTCAAATTACCATTTTCTCTTTGAACAATTTGAAAATTTGTTAAAGAGTGGTCTTTTTCATCAAAAGTTTTATGGTTTTTCCACTAGTCTTAATCATTGCCTATCAAGTTCACTAAGGATCTTATTAATAAAACTATGTTTTTGAGTGAAAAGGTTATTTTAAAATTGACTTGCAGACAACTTGACTGAATATTGTGTTTTGATTTAGGATAAATTCTATAAATGCTGGACCATTTCAAATAATCTTTAATTAAATTAATAGTAAATTTCTCAGAATATCATTTAACTTACAACCCATATATGAACCTAATAGAGACCAGTCTTTCTGTTAAGTGTGTTGAGGTAATAATATACAAAATAAGATGTGTGTCTTTAAGTTCTCAGCATGAAAAATACTTAACTTTAATGCTCCACTATGTATTTATAAAATAAACTTACAGTCAAGGTCTAGCAGTGTAAGATTGTCCTTGTTCTCTACTGATTCTGCTACAACACTGGCTCCTTGTTTATTGATTTCATTTCCACTTAGAATTAATTCCTATTAATATACACAACAAAAGGTTTACAAGCAATATGAGGAATTCATAATTACTAACATTTATAGAAAATAATTGGCACATTATGCCTCACAAACAAATAAATATTTCATTTTATAAAAAGGGCAAATATGAGTTTTATAACATTTAGGCAATGGTTTCAGAGCATGTTAGATGTATATCATCAGAAGAATGTAGTGCTGAATGTGAAATTATTGGTCACAAAAGTAGCAAAATGTAAACAAAGTAGTTTTTGACTTCCATACAAAATACTAAATCACCATAACTCTACTAATTGCAAAAAAGCAACAGAAGAAAAAGATGGCTCAGGCAAGTGACCAATGAGTATCTTTTTTAAAAACTAGAACTCCGTGAGTCGGATGTGTCGCCTTGTGAACAATAAAGTTTAGGAAAAAATGGCCAGGACAAAAATGAAGAAATTAATAAGTGCAGAGTACCGGTTCTTGTGCACTGCACTTTGGGTCATTACAAGAAGCATGATACCAAGTTTGAAGTCAATCCGACTTATAATGACCGACTTATGCTCCGGACAAGCTTAAGGGGACGCCGACAACGACGCGGACAACTATATTAGGTAGGGTTTTATCCATTTAGCAATGACTGTGCATGTGCCACTCGCTTTAAGGCAATTTATTGCGATTTTTATTTCATACAAGAATTTTGTAAGTATTTATTTTTAAAATCCAAACAATAAATTTTGCATCAGATATATAACTTTATACACATTAAGAAAATAAAATTATTAAAACTAAATTTTGTTATATTACCTTTAATTTTTTATGTCCATCTTGTATTGATCTAGCTATAACTTTTGCACCTTCTGATCTGATTAAACAATCACCAAAATTGATCACCTCTAAATTCTGTAACTTTGGTAGCACCTAAATACACAAAATACATTAGCTTTAACATCCAAGGGGAGTAACAATTACACGCATATTTTGAAATATACATCAAAAGTTACTTCCCTTTAAACATACATTTACAATAATTCAGCATTCTGTAATTCTGTATCAATAGTAACTATTTTTTGCATGATATTCTAATTATAGCTACATTGATAAGTATATTTTCAGATAAAGAAATAAATAATGTTGTAGAAGATCTCAGACTTCAGTGGAACAAAATTTTGATTGGCTACCTTTTTTAACGGATTACAAGAAATTGTAACCAAATTCTCTCAACCTCAGTTTATAATAGAGTTAAATCATGACATAGCTTGTATTATAGCACATTTAGTTTGATATTAGAAATTCTGACTCTAAATCATAAATAAGAACTTATATATTATCAGCTTGTTAAATATAATTCGAGTTCAAAGACCGAAAAATAAAAAATCCAGTGTGCACAAATGATTTAATGGGATACATACAAACAAAACTACAGTCAAATCTGTGAACAGAACATGGCTTATTGCTCTTAAAACAAAAAGGCTTTATTTGAACGGTTATTTTGTTCATTTAATCAAAGAAGGAGAGTCAGAGTGCCTTTTATTAACAAGGTGATCTTTGAAGTAAGGTTGTCTTAAACACAGGTTTGACATGTGCCATTAGGCAAGCAAGATTCAAGTCTATTATGGTGAGGTCCAGAGGTTTATCAGTTTATCATTTGAAGCGTGTCACGACAAAACCAACATTGTGCATTTGCAACCAGCATGGATCCAGACCAGCCTGCGCATCCGCGCAGTCTGATCAGGATCCATGCTGTTGGCTATCAGTTTCTCTACTTGTAATAGAATTGGTAAGCGAGCAGCATGGATCCTGATCAGACTGCGCGGATGCGCAGGCTGGTCTGGATCCATGCTGGTCGCAAACCCATTATGTTGGTTTTGTCGTGACACGGCTCATTTGTGTCTGACAGCAATATTCAACACATGACAGAAAAGGTCACTGACTATATTCAGAGATCACCTAAAATAAATCATACATACTTTTGCCATAGATTTTGCCCCTTTCACTGTGAATGTGTTATCATTAAGGTTGAGTATTCTAAGATTTGGATTATGTTCAAACGCTTGAGACAGAGCTGATATTCCCTGGTGATTAATACCATTCTGTGGCATCTGTACTTCTCTCAATGATCCCATCAGCTGTCATAAACAAAAATCAGCTGTCATAAACAAAAATCAGCTTTCATAAACAGAAATCACCTGCCATAAACAAATATAATGTATATTACAATGTGGGATTAATCTGTTACAACAAAATCTGTATTTCTGAAATGACTTTTGTAACATTTATCTTGACAGGATGGTATAATACTATCATTGCCAACTATTCAATCTAAAACACTTTTAAATTACATCTTATAATAAATAATTGGACATTAAAGTAATGAATGAAACAGTAAAATAAAGGTTAACAGAAAATAGACATCATTATTCTAAAAACAAATGCTATACATTTACTATGCATTTTCTTTCATCATAATCTTTCACAACTATTCATATATAGCAATATAATAATCAGTCTATTTAACTAAAGGAATCCATAGAGCCAAAACATAATGACTCAATAAAATACATTCAATATGTCATCTCTTCTCAATATCTGAGCAATTACCTTGAAGACTTCAGAGAGAGCTGTTGACCCCTCATTTTCCAGCCTCCCTCTCCCTGAGATAAATACTTCCAGCGCTAAGGGAGTCCCTGCAGCTTTACTAGAGTTGTAGCAGTCCATCAAACAATCAGCTAACATCTGAAACATATAACATTCCATATTACATGTATATATAGCTATTGATTGAGACCATTATTATATTTCCCATTTAGATAATTGTAACATAACACTGTATACAGTAACCTTTTCCAAAATCTACTCATACTGTATAATTATATTACAGTTGTCATATACCACAGAACCTATATCAGACAATGAAATTTGTTACATGTTCTAAGCTACATATATACAAAAAAACATTCATATATGAACAAGAGCACTGCTAGGCGAAGCATTATATGCCCGAAAGTGTTGAGTTTATTTTAGTAAAGATGAAGCATTTGTAAGACATGGGAATTAAATAATGTGCTACCTCCTTCAAATAGCAATCCTCCTATGAAGCCTGTAGGCCAAAGACACTTAAGTTATGCTCCGGAAACAGTTTTCAGTTTTAAGGTAATAGTCACCTTGACCTTTGACCTTGTGACCCCAAAATCAATAGGGGTCTTCTATCCAATATGGACAATCATCCTATGAAGTTTGAATACTGTGGGCCAAATGGACCTTAAGTTATGCTCCGGAAACTGTTTTCAGTTTTAAGGTAATAGTCACCTTGACCTTTGACCTTGTGACCCCAAAATCAATAGGGGTCTTCTATCCAATATGGACAATTATCCTATGAAGTTTGAATACTGTGGGCCAAATGGAACAATGTAGAAAACTAGAAATGTGTCCATAGGACACGGATGCCCCCACACGTCACTGTTCTGTCAATCTTATGACTCTAGGTCAAATATTTTTTGGACTACATGTGCCACAAGTTGAAAACTAAAATCAACAAAGGGCCATAATTCTGTTAAAATTGGTCGCAGCAAAAATTCCTTCCTTTACTACCATCTACACATAAAGGTTGTTAATCCCTAGAAGATTAAGCAAAATCTGCCATCCGGTTTAAGAGGAGTTGCGTTCACAAAATTTCTACGTAGTATATAATGAAAAAATCAACAAAGGGCCATAATTCTGTTAAATTTGGTTGCAGCAAAAATTCCTTCCTTTATTGCCATCTACACATTAAGGTTGTTCATCCCTGGAACTTTCAGCAAAATCTGCCATCCGGTTTAAGAGGAGTTGCATTCACAAAATTTCTACATAGTATATAGTGAAAAAATTAACAAAGGGCCATAATTCTGTTAAATTTGGTCGCAGTGAAAATTCCTTCCTTTACTTCCATCTACACCTTAAGGTTGTTAATCCCTGTAAGTTTAAGCAAAATCTGCCATACGGTTTAAGGGGAGTTGCGTTCACAAAATTTCTACATAGTATATAGTGAAAAAATCAACAAAGGGCCATAACTCTGTTAAATTTGGTTGCAGCAAAAATTCCTTCCTTTACTACCATCTACACATTAAGGTTGTTCATCCCTGGAAGTTTAAGCAAAATCTGCCATCCGGTTTAAGAGGAGTTGCGTTCACAAAATTTCTACATAGTATCTAGTGAAAAAATCAACAAAGGGCCATAATTCTGTTAAATTTGGTCGCAGCGAAAATTCCTTCCTTTACTACCATCTACACATTAAGGTTGTTCATCCCTGTAAGTTTAAGCAAAATCTGCCATACGGTTTAAGAGGAGTTGCGTTCACAATATTTCGGGACGTACGGACGGACGGACAAGTGCAACGCTATATGCACCCACATTGTGGGGGCTAAAAAACCTAAATGTCACCTATTTGCATTATACAATAAGCAATTCATTAACAATCAATTAACTGCTGTTAGACATTATTTTCTTTATTACTACCACTTTAACATAAATACAATCTGAGTAAAGTGAAGTTTCTTTGATTTCCAATGATCTTTTGTAAATGAGACACTGGTGTGAAAATCTGTTAGATCTAATAGAGATATGTTATTTCTCTTACAAAAGAGGTGCCTTGTTTATATCTATCTATATAATATATGAAACCGACATAGCACCTATGGCCACCATTATGTCAATTGCAATTCAATATCATCACTATAATGTATCATTTTATATCAATAATGTGCTGAATCATTCATTATTCATGGTGAATATATGAGCGAGGATAATCAACAGACTTAGTATCTCTCACTTTCAATTAATGAATTATTACATGAAAAGAGTAATATTGATATATTAATATTTCCTGTAACAGATATAAGATAGTTCTTCTACAGGGCATTTTGATTTTTAAAAAGAAAATGTATGTAAGGCTAAAACTATTATGAACATGATTTTTCTAGGTAAAAGAAAGGAATGAAGAACTTCAACACAAATATCAAACATGAGGTCAATCATGAAGAAATCTGTAGGTTTCAGTGATATCATCAGATTTTTCACTAATGAAAAAAATTCAACCCACTCAGAAAATAAGATCATGATTACTTTAAGAAAACATGTTACTAAAAATAGACTGAAAGTTGGCATGTTTCCAATTATTTGGGTTTTTAAATGTATTTTGTTTTACAGGGAGTCCAAAAGTCTAAAATCTTAAATTTCTTTGCTAGTCCAACTGAAGCAATTAATTTGGGAAAATATGCAAAAGGTGATATTGAATATATATATATTGTACTAAGACTTAAATTGAAAATCAACTTTATGAGCAATTCTAAGAGTTAAAAGTGTTAATATATTTATAAATGGTTTGCAAGGAGAAACAGCAGTTAAATCATTATCCAGTCATTTTCTCTTTATTGCAAAATTTTACATTGTTTTGTTGAGTTTTAAGTTACACCAACACAGTATAGATCAAATAAATAATTTCAAGCTTTCTAAGTGGAGGTGGACAGCAGGTGCCCTTCTATGCATTATTTCGGCAAAAGTGGGCATCTGTGTAGAACCTCCAACCTTTAGATATTAATTTGGATAATTTCTGACCTCACATAAAAGAATCAAAGTCTCTAACAAGATTTGTAGCTTTGTAGCTTTTAGCCTTCAATGAAGTAACATAGGATAGGTCAGTTTCTGCATAAAATGTAAGGTTTTAAAAATAAATTGAAAATAATAAATTTAAAATAGAGAGAAAAGAATGCCTAAAAAAAGCCCAATCGGTTTGCTTGAGTCTGTTTATGAACAGTGGTGGTAATTACAAGCTATCATCCACGCCCCCTAGCACAGGCTTTAGCAGAATTCAACATTTTACATGAACTTGTACAATTTTGAAATATCCACAATTGTGTTCCTATGGCAGTTAAACCATTATAACAAATACAAACAACCGTAATAGAATTTTATCAAAAAATTCGAATTTCAATGAAAATGAAAAAATTCTATCAAAACAAAAGATTAGATAAAACATTCATAATGACAAAATATATTTGAGCCACGTTGGGACAAAACCAACATAGTGTGTTTGCGACCAGCATGGCTCCAGACCAGCCTGCGCATCCGCACAGTCTGATCAGAATCCATGCTGTTCACTTACAAACCCTATAACAAGTAGAGAAACTGATAGCGACCAGCATGAATCCTGATCAGACTGCGTGGATGCGCAGGCTTGTCTGGGTCCATGCTGGTCGCAAACCCATTATGTTGGTTTTGTCATGGCGTGGCTCATTTACCTTTCCTCCAGTGGTACCAAGTCCATTGTTATTGAGTCTAAGTTCCTTTAGTGTATAACATGTTTTACTTTTGAGAAGATCTACAATACCGGTGACCCCATTTGGTCCAAATGCATTATCACTAAGGTCAAGTTCCACCAACTGTGCATTAGCTTCTATCATAGCAGCTCCTAAATATTTCTGTAAATGATGATTTGTTGTTTATAATGATATATTTGATATTTCTCTTCATACAGTAATTAAAGTATTTGGTATTGGCACAACTATATCAGTAAAGTATTTTTTAAGAAAAATAATGAAAACACATTTTTATTTTATGCTTTTCAGTGGATTACTGATTTATCCGTGAAAATTATATTTGGTAATTTCACAGTGAAAATTATCAAAATATAATTTCACTCTTTTCAATGACGAAACTACTTTTTTAAGATTTTCCCCATGTGGTACCTCAATTTTATTTTTGCTGACAATTCTGACAATGTCAGGCTGTTTAAAGAAAAAGCAAAACTGAAATTGATAAATAACTTAAATGTCAAAAGTAATAAAAAGAAGAAAACTTACTTCTATTCATTCAAATTCATGAAATTCCAATCACCAAATTTCGTTTTTTTGTTTCATTTTGAAAGTCTCAAAAATACATTCCTTCCCCATGCAAAACTGCTCTTGATGACATTTGGGCATATTAAAGTATCCTACGAGCAATAACTGCCGTATGCTTTATGAAAAATTGAAAAGCATTGACAGCCATAACTCGAAGAATAAGTTAAATCAACCCAGCGTTTCTTGAGCAGGTATCCAAGTTTTCCATTTCCTAGCTCCTTTTCTGAATGTTTTCACATCTGTCAACACTTTATTTTTTGTCTGTTACAATCCTCAAATAAGTTTTCTTTCTTTTAAAAAATGTGTATGACTAACAAATCCAAATTATATCCCTCTGAATCTTACACAATTATTTTCCTCCCATGAAATACACAACTTTAAAAAATGGCTGCCGCTTACAATTTACAAAGCCAGGTCTAATATAATAAATTCGCACTAAGTAACAGAAATATGGATGGATGGTTGGACTTTTTCTCCTACAAGAATTGTTTGTTTTTATTATCAAAACAAGCGATCATTCATATTTTTTTAATAAAATTAATTAATATCACCGTCATTTAATGTTGATTGGCGGACTTATTTTTCAGCTCAAGACTTCTTTTTTTTAATGAGAAATTCCGAATAAATGGGGCTCTCAATGGTAGCAAGACACTTCACCCCCCAGACACTTCACCCCTCAAATTTTGAAGACACTTCACCCCTTAAGACACTTCACCCCCCAAAATCAGTAAGACACTTCACCCCTCATCCAATTTTTTTCTATAAAGTATATAAAACAAATTAGTCAACAACAAAATGCTGATATATGTTTATATTGGTTGTTTATTCAACAGTCATCTCATAACTGATTAGATAATTGAATTAAAATGGTATAATTGTATGAAAATTAAATTTATTTATAATATTGAATAAATAAATAGATAAATAAATAAATTAATAAAATGAATATAAATGAATCGGTTGCTTTATAAAATATAGTAAACATAAATTATTTGTCATCATTATCAGACACAATTATCCTGTATTTAATTCAAAAATAATTCATAATAGCATTTATTAAACAAATAAATAGCACCAGTTATGTAAATTAAGCACAAGGTTAAAGCAGAATTCGTCACCAAATGAACGTAAACTTAATTATTATATGGGTATTTAGGATCAAACTGAAAACAAACTTAAGTACCAAAAACTTCAAGAATTAAATCAACTCAAAATTAAATACTAGACATTGATTTATACTTAAAATTACTTGAAAGTCTTTGTATGAGTTTGTATTGTTATTACTATTTTGTATAGGAAACTTCCCACAAAGGTTCACACACTTCACTAGAAAGATTATTCAATTAACTATATCACTTTTACTTTAATTGAAAATAGTATAAAATATATAAAAATTTAAAAAAAAATTACATTATACTATTAACTTTGTAATATGAGCCTTTTTTGTATGGCAAAAACAACTATATCTATTGTCTTTTATCAGTTACATGATAAAATAATAATAAAATATGTTAAAACAATAAACATACTCAATCACTATTGAATGTTTTTAACATTTACTACATGAATAATTGTTAAACATAAAATAAAAAAATGAGGGGTGAAGTGTCTCAATCAAATTTCTTAAAATGAGGGGTGAACTGTCTGAGGGGTGAAGTGTCTGCAAAAAAAGGCCTAGGGTGAAGTGTCTGGGGGGTGAAGTGTCTGTAAACCCTCTCAATGGGGGAAACAGTTTTAATATTAACGTTAAAATTATGGAAATTTCGTTTTAACTTGTTTTTAAGCATAAAATAAAAAGAAAATTTGTCTGTTTGTTGTGTAAGATGTAATTTTATTTCATCTCGTGAACTTTAAAAACAGTATTCTCACTCGTGGCTTCGCCACTCGTGAGAATACTGTTTTTAAAGCCCACTGATGAAATAAAATTTCATCTTACACACAAACAAACAAATATCCTCTATATATTCTTTCTATACATTACAACAACTTCAAATCTCAAATGTTATAAATTTGTACATTTATCACATTCCAATAGATTGTACATTTTTTTAACATGGATTATAAAATTAATAAAACAAAATGAGAAAAATTCTTTAATTATATATAATTCTTACAATTTTTCAACACATTTGATATTTTACATGTATCTTTGTCATATTGCCTATAATTTATTGTATAACAAGAAATACAAGTATACATCCCTTCAAAAAGATATTTTATCCATGTACTTTGACTCTAAATTCAGTCATTGCTGAGCATGTATGATCATTACAAGAAATCTGATGATTACTGTATATGAAATGTACATCACCACTTTTGGAAACACTAAGAAACAATCTATCAACAAACATACAAAAACATACCAAAGCTTGTGGTATTTCAGTCTTTAGTCTACCTGTGAACATATCACTCCACAGTGCTCTCTGAAATAAATCATATCTTTATTTCATTATACACATTCAATAGCATACTAACTTACACTCAAATGTGAAAAATTCTTATTAAATCTTGAATGACCCAAACAACAATTTTTTTTACATAAAAGCAAAAAAAAAGAAATGCTACTAACTTGCTTAACATTTTAGTATCCTTAAAATAAAGATCTTTTATCTATCAAAATGTCCTGAAATATTTGTTCTGAAAATAAAATTACATTGTTTTTATCCTCACTTAAATTCCTTATTCAGGGGAATAAAATTACTAAACAACTGTTTTATTATTCTTGACTTTACTATTCATCTATTAATTTTGGGCTTGTAAAAATCTATGTGAGCATGTAGATATTGTCAACCACTAGGCAGAATTACTTGCAGTTTTCAAGATCAAAATTCTTTGTGATTAACCATTACACCTCTGAATAAATATAGAAAAGCAGTGGCAAAGTTCCTTGCAATACAATTATAAATTCTATTTTTTTAGGGGAAAGGGAATAGATTAATGTGACATAAAATCAAGGTTTTACTTTTCCATACCTCAAATTCTGGATGTTTTTTCAGAGCTTGAGCTATACTCTCTGCTGCTTCCACTCCTAGAGTGTTCCCCTCCATACTGAGAGCCGTCATCGTGGAACATTGTTCTATTGCTTCTACAACTTCTTTAGCTAAACATAAGAATATCATAAAAATCAAATAAATATTTTAATACTAAGCTTGCCATAGTTTCGCAGTCTCATTAAAAGCATATCCTAACTATCCACTACCCTTTGCTATGTAACAAAGAGTAGTTCCAGAGCTACAGATAAACAGCGTATCTGCGTAATTACCCAATAATTTTGACCAATTTACCCAATTAAAATAAAATCTTTGCATAATAAACAAGAGCTGTCCGTAAGACAGCGCGCTCGACTTTTTTATTGCTTGCCAATAAAAAAAGTTTTTGCAGTAAAAGGCAATACAAGAATCTCTGTATTTTTAAAGTGAACAATGGCCATGAGCATTAAGATATTTAGTGAAGAATTATTTTATTATGACATAATTTATGGTAAAGTGAACAAGTGGATAGGAATGAATTTTTTTAGATTTTTTAAGTTTTTTAGTGCTTGCCTATAATACAAAACATTGACAGTTAAGGGCCATAATTCAAATAAAATCTTTGACAGAATTACCTTCTCCTGGACATGTTTGGGAATCATGATTGTAAACAAGTATTCCAACTTTCAAATTAATATCTCAAACAGTTCAGTCAAAAAGTGGACTGGTACTAAAAACTTAACCAAGATTCTAAGTCGATAAAAGGCCTTAATTTTTAAAACAAATCCTTGACAGAGTTACCTTCTCTTGCGTACAGATGGGGGTAATGATGTGAAATAGCATTAAAAGTTTCAAAGCAATATCTCAAAGGGTTAAGCAGACTTCCCGAAAGTTGAAAAAAACTGTCAGACATTCGGTCTGACAAACCATGAAAATCCGTCGGACCGAAACGAAATCTGTCGGACCAAATAAAATTGATCAAAATCAAAGAATATCTTGTGTTCGTATTTCTAAGACACTTTTTGTTTTTAATTTTTTCGCCGTAAAAATCGGCACATTCCTTACAGCGCATTTTCATCTCCTCCCTATCATACACCAACAATTCACTGTCTTGCTTCTATTTTTCATTAAATTTTGTCTCAGGTCTATTCTTTTTATCCTTTTACTGCTGTTCTGCCTGTTCCTCTGACGTAGATTTTTTATTTTTCCAAGGTTTGGCACCTTTAGCGACGCCATTTTGTATACATGCGGCTTGGATAAAAGCCGGACAGTCGGACCGATCCGGAATAAAAACTCGTCGGACCTGATGAAAATTTATCGGACATGTCCGTCGGACCGACGTATTTCGGGAAGTCTGGTTAAGGCAATAAGTGGATTTTACCCATATTCAATGTATTTTCTAAGTCAAAAAGGGGCATAATTCTGTCAAAAACCTTGACAGAGTTATGTCCTCTTGTCTGTTGATGAAGGTCGTGATGGTAAACAAGTATGGTCAGTTTCAAAGCAATACCTCCAATGGTTTTGAAATAAAGTGAGGTGGTACAAAAAACTTAACCAAGCTCAATACACTTTCTAAGTCAAAAAAGGGCCATAATTCTGTCAAAAACCTTGACAGAGTTATGTACTCTTGTCTGTAGATGGAGGTTATGATGGTGAACAAGTATGGTAAGTTTCAAAGCCATACTTGTAATACTTCTGAAATAAAGTGGGGTGGTACGAAAAACTTAACCAAGGTGTGACGCCAACGCCGACGCCGACGCCGGGGCGAGTAGGATAGCTCCCCTTTTCATAGAAAAGTCGAGCTAAAAAGCAAATCAAAGGCTCAGTACCCAATTTGTTTTGATTCTGTAGACATATTTCCAGTATCTCGGACACTAATTCACCTGGTGAAAACAAATCCAAAAATAGCCTGTTTCCCCTTCTGTACTTTCTTTTTCCATTTGTTTGCCGAGAGCCACTGAGTAGACTGGTTACATAATTGGGTATGGACCTAGAAATCTTAATATATTCACTGTCTGACTTCTCATTCATTTGTATTTTCTCACCAGTATGCAACTCATTCTCACAAATATCATCCAACTCTCGCTACAAGTTCATTTGACCTTAAATACATCACTTCACTTGTTGGATTTAAAATTTGTATAAAAGTTCTATCACCCTGGACATTGGAGATCGATCTAGCCCCTATCACCTGAATCTTGCTTGGTAAAGTTCTTATAGGTTGGATAACAGTATTGATTTTTTCACGGAAAAGCTCATACTTTCAAGGAATAATAACATGTGGCCCAGACTGAGGTCAATTTCCTTTCTGCATGGTTACACCGCTTTAAACAAAATGGCGAAAGGTGGACGTAGAAAATCTAATATTTCAGTGCAGTCTAACAAAATATTATTTTTTTCAATCTTTACCCTATCTTGCTTCTGTGTTACCCAATTGTGTGTCAAGTCCAGGGGTAAATACCCAATTAACTCAAAAGGTTATCTGTTGCTCTGGTAACAGAGCGAATAATGGTGATCTGATTTTAATGAGATAACATAGTATTTGGGCCTTTTACAGCTATTTTGAGAAAAGGCTAAGTACTGAAGTCTCAGTTCTAATTCTAAAGCAGTCATTTCGATTGTTTCAGTAAAAAAAATTACATTCTTTGTTTTGTCTCTAGATAGTATTTGCCAATCTAGTAAAACTGTATAAGACCAGATTGACCATATGTGATGGTATTGAATTTTTAACAATGACATCATAATATTCACTGCAATTTTACAAATTTAAAATAAATGGTATGTTCAGAGAGCTGTCATAGAATAAATTTCTGATTGAGATAAGTAACTGAAATATGTTTTTTGTTTTTAACTTTATTAACCAATTCAAACTAGCAACTGTATTGCCGATAAATGGTCTGTGGGTAAAAAATGAGTTAAAACTAGGTGCAAGGGTTTGACAGTAGGAGAGTAGTTAAGCGGGAAATCCGAGTTTTTCCGATTTCGCGCTAACCAATCGTTACTCGACGTTATATTCAGTGCGGTAAAGTAGGAAATGGTTACTTTCTGGTACGGAGCTCTCAATATTTTTTATTTTTTTCAGCTTGTTGGCGTTATCACCGGGCAGTTGAGAAGTACAGACTTCACAGTTTGACTGTAAACAAGTTGTTTTAAAGAAAGTATGTGAAAATTTTAACAGTTATTCGTTGATTTTGTAGAAGGAAGTGGCTAGCCGTACAGGCCCGTACGGCTAGCCATAAGTTCTAGCCGTACGTGAGTCACGTACGACTAGCCAGGATTCACTGTATTGTCTAGCCGTACGGCACTTTTCAAAATCATATGGAAGTCGAACATGCGTATGTTATTTTGTGCCTCATGATTATGATTTATTGTTTTATTTGTATGATAGATGAATTTTTGTTAATTAAGCACATGTATCGAATAAATAATGATCGGAGTGGAATAAATAAAAACACGGATTTATATTACAAATCCGTAATAAAAAGAACATTGAAAAAAAAAACCAAACACAAACGGTGAAATGCAAAATAATTGTATAATTTTCAAATACAGTAGATAAACGAACATAAAAGCATAATCAATTAATTAGCCTTAATTAAAGCCTACCCAGGGACTGACAATAGAATTTTAAAATGCGTTTCACGGAACATGCAAACTTTCCTTATGTTAACAAACTTCTATACCGTCGGTAATTGACGCAATTATCAGAGCACATTCGCACAACAACAATAACTTTCGTGTTGTTTTTTTTCTTTCATTTTAAAGGTGTCGAAAATTAAACTTAATGAAACAAAAAAGGATTATCATCAAAATTTTGTAAACTATTTTCAATTGATGTTATTTAACAGCGACCAAATGCAATTTTTTCTCAACGTCTTGAGATGACAAAGATCGATATTCGTACTTTTTTTACTGTAGCCAATAATTAAGGCGATTAATCTATAATAGGTAAACATACGAAGACAATTGCTGTTTCTTGGTTAAAATCCTTGCTTAAAGTCATAAAATAACATATGCATTTTGGACTTCCATATAATTTTGAAAATGCCGTACGGCTAGCCAATACAGTGTGTCCTTGCTAGTCGTACGTGACCAGGGCCCTCGATCAACCAAATCTGCGGCCGATATTCGGCCGCAGTCCCCCACCAAAATAGTATGTTTTTTTCCCCCTAACAGAGGTAAAAATTCCCCCTCAAAACATATAAAGTGTTAAAGAGAAAAAATGAAAACTAATGTTGTTTTTGAAAATTAAAATCCATCTATTTGACGTCTATTTTGTAAATGGAATATCGTACAGTACATGTCTGCACGTTTCCGTTTGTTTTTTCCCCCAAAATCTACCGTCACATATTGGCCTTTCATCCTGTAAAAATGCTAAAATTTCAACAGAAATATGCAGAAAAAATCACAATTCCCATCAACAATTTGATTTCAAATTGTTTATTCATGAAATCATTTTTTTTTTGTCTTCAAATGTTACATCAACCACGGTAAATTTTGCCGTAAATTACAAACTTGTAAGTTTTGTTTTCATGATACTTTATTAAATAACTGATGAAAAACGATCTTATAATGAACAATCAATTTAATTTTATATAATTTACATCAGAAACAACTAGAATTGTGGGTGTGTAAACAGAAAACAAACAAATTTTCATTTGTCACATATTTTCGCGATGCCGATTTTTACGAATGTTTTACAAAGTCAAGAAAAGGAAGCTTTGTCTTATAAAAGGGGTGTTAGAGAACATAGAGAACACTAGAAATGTAGTTTATGAATAGAATTTACTTTAGGTCCATGTATTGTTCATATTACTGGAAATGGAGACATTTGTCTGAAAGTGTTTCTAAATGCAAGCTTATTTTTTTTTTTTTGGGGGGGGGGGGTGAATCATAAAGAAAGCTAAGCAGCATAAAGATCTGATGGTGTAAGGTGATAAAAACTTTTCTTCAAATCTTATCAATCACTTCTGAACAGTTGAGCGTAACCTATTTGGGATTTTTAAAAAAAAAAAATAATATACATGTAAATAAAAAACAGCTGATATTTACGGTCTCACTAAAAAGCGTCCCGAAGAAATTTAGCGTCCCGAAGCGTCCCGAAGCATTATTGTTAATTTAAACAGCCAGAAGGGTTATATTTATTGTAAATGAGCTATATTATTATGTCCTGAGGTATTATATTAAATACTTAACACTTAATGAATGATTGGAACCTGTCACTGGCCAACATTATACTAGTCCAGTACCTTTAGCAATAGGCTATATGTCATTGAAGAAGGTAAACCAGGGTTTCACTATTTATACATAATGTAATGAATAGTGTATGACTGTTACCATAAACAATAAGTTATATATAGTTTAATAAGTGCATAGTCTATAACTGGTTAAAATGAAAAAGTGTCCAAATATGTTTTCTAGTTGAGTTCTATCTTAACCAAATTATTTTGAAATACTTCGTAATTTTAGTTAATGAAATAGTAATGTAAGTAACAAAAGCGAGAAAAATGTTTTTCATACATAAAATTATCTTTATAACGCCCGAAACCGTACGTCTATCCAGGCATGTTTCAAGTTGCTAACTGACTAACATAGCGTCCCAAACGTTTTCATGTTGTTTTTTTTTTTCTAAGCAAAGATAAATCGTGTTTTTTTCTTTTATGTTATGTGTAAGTGACATTAAGAAGGAAATAAACTGTGGATGAAATGTTTATTTCCTTCTTTATGTCACTTACACATATCGTAAAAGAACTTAATTACGATTTATCTTTGCTTTGATAAAAATAAAAACCATGAATACGTTTCGGGACGCTATGTTAGTCAGTACGCGACTTGAACTATGCGTGGATAGACGTACGATTTCGGGCGCTATAAAGATAATTTTATGTATGGAAAACATTTTTCTTATTATTTTTACTTACATAACTATTTCATAAACTAAAATTACGAAGTATTTAAAAATAATTTTGGTTAAGATAAACATTAAACCTTCCGGACGCTTTGTCGGTATACGGTGGTTTTTGAGCAAGTGAACTGGAGTCAAAGGTATGTTAGGTTTTTTTTATATAAATAGAAAAAATGTTAATTAAGATTATTTTTTTCTACCATAAATACCTCAGGACATAATAATATAGCTCATTTACAATAAATATAACCCTTCTGGCTGTTTAAATTAACAATAATGCTTCGGGACGCTTCAGGACGCTTCGGGACGCTAAATTTCTTCGGGACGCTTTTTAGTGAGACCCGATATTTAAATAAGTTTGCATGTATTTGATATTTGATCATTAAAGAAAAAGAGGAAAATTCCCCCCATACACCAAAATTCCCCCCGCCGAGGGTAGCAACCCGCTTCCCCCAAATTGGATTGAGGGCCCTGGTGACTCACGTACAGCTAGAACTTTTGGCTAGCTGTACGGGCCCGTACGGCTAGCCACTGCCTTTGTAGAAATTGGCCAGAATTCACCTTTGTTTACACGCATCGCTTGGACGTCGGAAACGACATGCAATGACATTTCAGTGAAATTTGGAAACTTGCTCGTATTTTGGAGCATTTTGAGGGATTTCGATGAAGTAAAAAGTGTTTATGATAGGAATAATCATCCCTAGAGTCGACCAAAAAGACAAAATAGTGATCTGGTGTATTTTTACAGAACAGTTTTTGTTTGTTTTGCATGATAGTTTTCTCTCGTTAGGGGCCTTTATTCTTTATATATAGTAATATGAGCGTATATGGGTAAAATAATTTGTCTGGTGCCTGTGATATGAACACACCCCAAGTGTGTTGGACCACTTTGTCTCAGGAGTGACAGTCAGCACTGGTCAGTGCTTGTGGTCTAACCAATTGAGCTATCGCGCCACCACTGAGTTCCCCGTTCATAGGCTATTTCTTTAATAATTGTCAGTTTATGTTTCTTCTAAGGTTACGGTTAAGGATAATTTACAAAAACATGGATGATTCGAAAAGACAAAGTGCTCTTTTCTTGTGGACCTACCATCTTCTGGTTTATTTAATTTCAGTCCCTTTCCTTTGAAACTAAGTAGATTTTTTTCATCAACCTTTGTCCCTTCTAGTTTCTTAGTGACATCTGCAATGTCATCTGAGGCCATCTTTAGTTTATTTATTAGAATTGTCCTCAATTTTTATCCTTTTTCAAATTCGATTTTCACCGGAAATGGCGCTAGAATGTGGAAACGGTGTTGTCAGTATTTCTTTTGCAATCCGGTCAACTCGTCCCCTGGTCAACTCGGCCTCTGGTCAACTCGTCACCTTTTTGGTCAACTCGTCCCCTACTTTTGGTCAACTCGTCCCTTATATGGTCAACTCGTCCCCTAATTTCGATCGATTCGTCACTATTATGTTTTAAATCAATGTCTTTTTATAGTTCTTTTATGTAAAATTAATAATGAATTTGATTGATATCGAAATATTAATAAAATAACGTCTTTTTACGTCAAATTTTAATGATCTTTATTTAAGCGCACGTGCATAGCTTTGATGTAAAACTACAAAGACAGGTAAGTTTGCAAACATTCAATTAATGTTTAATAAATCGGAGTTTTAAATGATAATTAAAACTAAAATTAGGTCCAACTCTTTGATTTTTACCGCCTCCCTAAATGGATTAAAGACTGACGACAGATTAACAGGAATTAGAAGTGCTAAAAACTTTATGTCGGTGCGTATTGATCTCATTATAGAAGGATCGTGTTAATTAAAAACATGATAATTATTTGTTGTAAAATTGTCAATATAAAATTTGCCCTGATAAATATAAGATTTATTCTTAAAATCTCATTTGCGTTGTACGTTATATTAACATTGGATTATTTTTTAAAGTGCATATATATCATTTCTTAGAATTCCATATTGTTGGATTGTAGACTGCACGTGAACGGTGTATGTGACAATTTAAATTATTTGTGTTGTTAATTGTGACTTTTTTAATCTATTTGTGTCGTTAATTGTGACAATGTACCCCTGCATTGATTGTAGGAAACATTCTAGTGTGAGCGCTGTGAACACTGGCAACACAGAAGTTGTAATACAGGTTAGTCATTTGTGATGTTTATGTTCATTATAAACAGACAAATGGTCTTGCAATTCCAAATGATCTTATATAGTGTATTGGAATAAAATTGTCAAAGAATTTTTACTTGTTATTATTATTTTTTTTTTTCATTATTTTTTTTTTAAATAAAAAATCCGTACAATAATATTTGCAGTGGATATTAACTGATTGAATGGAAACATGATTGAAAACATAAAGTAATTACCAAATATTTAATTGCCATCTAATAACTAGTAAAGATTAATATTAAATTTCCATAAATAAATCTTTAAATTGATCTCAAAGAGGAGCTGAAAAAACTGAGTTCCAGAATTTCTTGTATAATACAAGTCAATATATTGAATGTATAAATTATATTTTATCATTGCATATAAAACATGTTTTATACATTAAATGGTATTGCTATTGATCGTATTCGTGTTATTTTTTTCTGTATGTAATTTAATCAGAATTATGCATATGTATACTAATTATTAGAAAAAAAAACTCCAAATATTCGCATACAAAAAGCGTCAAAATATGTCCAATTCAGTAATATATTATTTTAACAGTCTATAATAATTTATGAAATATATGAAAAACAAATAATAATAAAATATAGGGGACGAGTTGGGGACGAGTTGACTAGGGGACGAGTTGTCCAAGGGACGAGTTGACCAAAAAGGTGACGAGTTGACCAGAGGACGAGTTGACTAGGGGACGAGTTGACTCTGAATCTTTCTTTTAAGCGTGCAAATAAAAAATCAACACCACTATTTTTATTGATATAGGTGAAACACTACCACCTTTTTTCACATCTGGCAAATTCGAGAACATGACAAAAATCACCTGTTCATGCTGTTGATTTTTAATGCTAAGGTCGCCAGTACTTCCGGACTGCATGCTCGATAAAAATTTAAACAAAAAACTTCCTCGTCCTCGTGTACCTCTGCTAATGGCCTTACGAATGGCCTTAATTGTGTGGTTAGGCATAGTTTGGAGATGGGTTTATGTTTCCCTGGTTGATCTTTCTTTCATCATCATCATCATCGTCGTCGTCGTCGTCATCAATATCATCATCATCATCATTCTTCTTCTACTTCATACTCCCGGAGAATAAATGAACATAAGTACTGGGAATCACTATAAATATATCTACACCTTATGTCAAAGTCGAATGTCTTCACAAATCTCCATATTTGTTATAAACATACAAGTTTTTAAAGTTGGTTGGGTATGGTGAAGATAAATACGATACTGGTCAGAGAGATAACTCCGACGCATAGATAACCCCGACACTTGATAAGTATAATTGTTATAGCTTTGTTTTTCAAAAAACAAGCACATGATCACCAAATAGTATAGGAATAGGACAGAATGTGATGCTTTATTATAATTTGGTAAACTTTTTAATGTTTTTCAAATAACCTAAACTTTTTGTAGGCAAAAACTGCTTCAAAACGTTCTTTTTACTAAATTACAATAAGGTAGTTAGAAATGTATTGACCACAGGCCACTGACTTGGGAAAGATTGTTAAAAAATTGTTTAGATATTTACAAAAAATAGATAAACCATATAAGATGTAAAGATAAATTATTGATGCTGATTTTCCAGTTTTTTTTACTTAAAAATTTAAAAGTCGACTTTATCTACTGTTGTGGGGTAAAAAGATTATGTTTTGTATACCTCATTCAAGACCTTAAAGAAGTACCAGATTCCATTTCCATACATAATTTTTGTAGTGTAATGTAAAGTCTTTGAACTGAACTTTGTTTAGGTGGTTCAATATTTAAAATATACTGGAAGATAATTAAAATATTGCAAAAAATATGTGATTTAGTGTCGGAGTTATCTCTCCAACCAGTACCGATTTTTATGATTATGCTGAAATCGATGACATCATAGCCCCGAAAATCATACTGTAATTGAATAACGTTTTCGATTGGCTAAAAAGTTCAACGTTTGGCCATGACTGTTCCGTCTAATCTTGTAGTTTTGAAAGCTAACGTAAGCTGTTCTATTTTATTATTGGAACCACTTATTACCATTGTTCATACAGATACCACAATTAAGGTTAAATAGTTTCATTTCTATTACATACATGTAAAAACAAAGATATTTTTCCCTTCTATCGCCAAATGTTTATGTTTTTTATTATACTTAGTGTCATCGATAGCTAGTTGTTATTATCGCATATTATCACCACGTGATAATACTACAGTCAGATAGAAATAATTAATCAATGCGACATTTAACCTTGTGTTTAAATGCCTTGCCCAACAACAGGTAGGTACTTCCATAATTAATCAATATAAACGATGTAATTAATCCATTGGATATTGTGGTAGATATCCTCTTTTATAATGGATCCAGTAAGAAAGTCATGGTAACATTTATCATTAGTGTCCAACTTAATTTGTCATCCAATGAAAACGCTGCATTTCTTAAAAAATCTGTGCGTTAATTTTCATAGAAGAACAAAAGACGATACTATATATCGAGTTCCGTTCATAGTCGACTTATATTTTTATAGTACTTCATAGAACCGCATAATGGCGTAATAAATATCTCTGAAGAACCATTATCTTGTGTATATCATAAGTTCTTAAACAACGAAAACAACCCTCACATTTGTCTTAACTTTAGGGTTTGTTTTTGACTAGGTACGAAGTATACATTGTGCAAACCGAAATGTACCATGCCAATTTAACTGTGCAAGCCGAAATAATTTACACTGTCTCTGGTCTAAGTTGTTATTATTATCATTATTTATTTATTTATTTATTTATTTATTTATTTATTTATTTATTTATTTATTTATTTATTTATTTATTTATTTAATTATTTATTTATTTATTTATTTATTTATTTATTGTTGGGTTTCACGTCGCACCAACACATACAGTATGGCGAATTTCTATTTTGTCTTATTTTGTCTCACTCTAGGGTCCACGGGTTATCAAGTTATTGGTCGAAATCGCGACGTTAAGATAAAAAAAGGGTCATCTACTGCTTATAAAGTTTGAGCGCCAAGGGTCCATGGGTCGTCGAGATATTGGTCAGAAACCGTTTTGACATAATAAAGGTCAGTATGTGACCTTAATCTTTGACCCCAACATCAAAAGATGTAATCTACTGCCAAAGAAAAATCCTCCTACGAACTAAGAGCGCCAAAGGCCAATAGGTCGTCGAGTTTATGACCGGAAACCGTTTTATCATACAAAGTCAATGTCACTTTAACCACAAAATCAATAGGAGTTATCTACTGGCCAAAACCAATAGAGTTTAAGGTCCGAGGGCCTATGGGTTGGCGAGTTATTGTCAGAATCCGATTTGGCATAAAAGGTCAATGTGACCCTGACATTTCATCCATTGACCGCAAAATCAGTAGGGACCATCTAGATACTAAGGTCTCTAATTATTAAACAGAAACAATGTGGAACGGACGGACGGACCAAAATCATGCTGTTACAATGGATAGAGGCTAAAAAGGTAAGAACGGTCCATATACACAGATTTTAATGTAAAAAACTAGATAAAAACAAGATTGCACTGCTTCATCATCAATTTCACGTAATATACATGTATATCTCATTTAATCTATGTGGTTGGCACAGTTTAGTGCTTGCTCTTTAACGTCAATGATTAATTATTGAACATTTATTAGCCTGGACATTAGTTAGTTCACAAAGTAATTACCAATCTAGAACAATATCTACTGCGCTATTTACTCTCTGTCATCACTAAAACACACTACACTGTAATTGTTTTCAATGACATCAGTTGAATTACCCACTCAAAGAGGATGAGCAATCATTCGGTCTATCCAGCTATATAGCTCTTTAGGCACATGCTCGTGAACAGATGGGCACAAGTAGTCTTACTCCACTAGTAAAGCCATATAACAAGCGATCTTACAAATTTTCAATTGTCACGCAAAACTGATATTCCCCAATCGATCCTTACCAACATTTACTTCAAATTAAATGTCAATACCCAAAACTTTATCAACAAGATTTGTAGCACTTTCCCTTGTAATCGGCCATTTTAAGTAATTAAAGGTTAAAATGAAGACCCGGTGGTTAATTATGTTTTTTCATTGATGAAGCTAATCACTGTGATCAGCTTTATTTATAGTCGATGAACATTCTCACG